TAATTTTTTTTTTTAAATAACATATATTATTTTGCACCTGCATACATAGTAATGTTTCAGTATAACATTTCCAGGTATTTATTACGTCTCGCAGTACTCTGCTTTCTTTGTTCAGGCATCATCCAGGGTCAGCTTCTACATCCTGAGCTGAGATGCTGGCTCAAAGCTATTAGTCATGTAAATCCTGCTGCCTGTGAAGTTTTTAGCTATGTTCACAAATATCTGACACTGATCATCCCCCTGATTTTCTACAAAAATACAATGTTGCAGTCTGATCACTGCAGAAGAGACTAAGGACATGCTTCATCCTGCCTGCACAAGACTGATAACATGTGTTGCCCATGTATTGGAGAAAAAAAAAGTATGTAACACAATTAGCATCATAGCTAATATATTTATTGGAAAAAAAAATCTCTTTAATGACAAAAGACTGGAAGGACCAGGTTCTGTATGGATGATTATATTTGTAGACGCATGAAGCACATCTGTTCTAATCTATGTCTTTATGGACCTTGCTTTGTGCACTGGTGTGCTGTCATGTTGGAATAGGAAGGGGCCATCCCCAAACTGTTCCACAAAGTTGGGAGCACGAAAATGTCCAAAATGTCTTGGTATGCTGATGCCTTAATAGTTCCCTTCACTGGAACTAAGGGGCCAAGCCCAACCCCTGAAAAACAACCCAACACCACATGTAAGGCTTGGATGCAGCTGCTCGGCCATGGAAACACATTCAATGAAGCTCTCTACGCCCCGTTGTGCCAATCTGAATGCCACATGAAGTTTGGAGGTCTGTAGCTATTGACTCTGCAGACAGTTGGGGACTTCTGCACACTGTGCGCTTCAGCATGCGCTGACCCCGCTCTGCCATTTTACATGGCCTACCACTTTGTGGCTGAGTTGCTGTTTTTTCCAGTTGCTTCCACTTTATTATAATACCACTAACAGTTGACCATGGAATATTAAGTAGCAAGGAAACTTCATGGAACACCTGAAACCAATGATTTGGAGAGGTGACCCAATACTTTTGGCAATATAGTGTATATTTAAATGACATCTTTCTAGATGTTTCAGGCAGGCATGCCATTCTGGCCTCTGATTAAGGCAGTATAAGAAGTAAATGGAAAGATAAGATGGTGACTGTTCCCCTCTGAAACTAGGTAGCGGCCAGCCTGGTAGGATAAGGAAGCAAAAGGTAGAGAGAGAGAAATAAGAAGGACATATGTTATAGACAAAAGTAGTATCCAAGAAAGAGAAGGAAGGAGAGAAGGGAAAGGATCCCTCCTCCCAGAGTCCAACAATGAACATATACACAGGTCCAAGTTCTTATCATATTTGCTTTTTTTAAAATTGTGAAACACACATGTATGCTTGTCATCCATCATAATCCAGTTTAGCTTATGTTTGACAAAGTCGATGTACACCTTTCACAACTTTCTTTAAAAAAAAACTCTGGAAATCAAAAGGAAGATTAATTTTAAAAAGGTTTTTGTTCAACATGTCAATGTTTTGTTAAAGGAAAAGGCGGATCACTAGCGGAAGTATTTATATTTATGTATATATATAGTTGAATCGGCTTGTTTCAACCTTTATAAATTTGGGTGCATATGGATATTTTTGCTTAACCCTTTTTTCTAAAACCCTTATATTCCATCTGCTGGCTATTGTCATCAACGAGATAGTGTTGGACTTCAGCCTGCACTTGGTAATTGTTTTTTACTATTTATGGAAGATCCAGTATACTTTCGGACCCTATCCAATCATAATCAAGAAAGTTTGCAATATTGACTGTAGGTTGTTCTCCTTCGGAGTACCCCTTTATAAATTGTAAACTGTCTTCCAGCATGTCTCCCACTGTGTTGGTTTTGGCAGACATGGTGGATATTAGCACCACCTATATGCTATGCTTTCTTCATGTTTATATGTCGATTTATGGTCTCTGTATATATTTAACTGACATTGGAGGGCATTGGGAATTTATTTATGACCGCACAGGTGTCTGTCTATTATTATTAAAGCCTCTTGCAAAAAATGAATTGTTATCAATTTAGATTTATACACTGCTGTGTTAAATGTCGAATCAGGATCCCAATGGGCTCTCATTAGTGAGCTATATAACACACCGATGCAAGACACTGACTACACGCCCCTCTGAGGAAGCCCCAGTTGGTTTGGGGGGAAACGCGTACGAGTCAGCGTGTGTTTCAGACTCCCCTGGATACCCGCATTACTTAACCCACGGTCGAGTGAACGAAACAACCTTCTCATTGTCGAGTGACAGGACAGGACGGAACGAAGACCTCTCAACCGCTGTTATCTCGTAACTGCAGTGAAATCTGTAGGAAACTGAACCGAGATTGAGAACAGCTTGTGGGCTGAGGTTGCTCTATCTCACTATCCACCTTTCAGCCCAGTGTGTCTTTATCCACTTCGCTGTGCGGCCGCACATGCTGGAAACAACCCCCGGATTCCTTTCTGGATCGGAAGTGACCGACACCTGCTGATCAGTGTGAGCTCAATTGAGCTGGGAGTGACACGCTCATCGGAGCCTCCAGACATATAAGGATAACAACCATCTGGAGTCACAATCCCACACAAGGATATACCTCACAGAATTCACTCCATCCGTGTTTAAACAGGGGACCCTACAAGGACTGTCCCTCATCGCAAACCACATAGGTTGTGAGTACGCTCTGATACATTGTATCCGTCTTTAAAACACATTATCGTGTATATACTAGTGACTATCTACCACTGAGGTGGTTTCTAGATTATCACTCGTACTACTATAAGTGGAAGTTCCAGGGGATGTCTTTTTACTTGTTATGCATTAGTGAAATAAATGAACTTTGCACGATATTCTAATTATTCGAGTTTCACCTGTATATTATAATTAGTGGTTTTTAATGCCTTTTAATTTTTTTATTTGATAAATTACAATATTTTACAAAACAAACATTTTAGAGAGGGCATGTCCAGAACAGTTTTGCAGAGCATTGAGTTTTCTAAAGAGAGAGCAAAGCAATAGCTCTTTGATTTGAGACTCTCTGATTAAAGCTCTATATTGAGTCATAGAGAGGTAGGAGAGAGGGACAAATGAGGAGGAGGAGTCAGCAGAGTGAGCTGTTCAGCAAAGGCAGGCCTGGTAAACATGTAAATGTAGAGTTCCTCCTCTTTGTTTTTTAACTGATTTTTAGAAAAGTCTTTTTTTTATAATAATATTTATTATTATTCAGTAGTCCTGAACAAAGGCAATAAAGAAAATATATACAAAACGTTATATATTCTCTTAATTTTTATGTTTCTGTGTTTTGCATTGTACACCAAAATGATAATCTGAATTGTGTTCCTTTTACCCGGTTGTATGAAAAAGAAACTGCAATTTGTACCACATTCTTTTGATAATGAATGATCTATCAAGGGTTTCGGATAGTGTTTTCATTAGGTTTTATCTACAAATATGACTTGGGTAAAAACTCTTAAGGGGAACAGTGATGAAACTGACATAAAGACCTTAAACATCAATTTAAAGGTTTCCAAAATATCTGATGGGGTTCTTGTTTTAAATGGTAAAATCTCCAAAATGCAGGAATATAACTGAATTATATGCCCAAATGTAGCAATAATGCTTCTTTCATGAGAATTTGCCTATAACTAATTCTCTGATTTAACTCTAGGACTAATTTGCCTACATAAGTAATTTCTATATTTGTAAGGCCATATAAGGCTTTTATTTGGTACACTGTTTTGATATGTAATTATAGGCTGACAAATGTACAAAAATAAACTTTTTTAGCACTGTAATTGTATTTGACAATTACATTATTAAACTAAAACTGTCAGGCTGCAATGGCATCTGCAGTGCTACCTGCATGTTGAAAGCTTATTTTGTCAATGAACACATGATTAGCAACCACACTGATTGATTCTCAGTTGTCAGTGGAGTATAGAGCCGTCAGTGACAGCCAGGATTGAGAGCCTGGGTTATCGTCTTGGAGAACCTTAATATACAGATTGAGGATGGGAAGGGGTTATAAACAGCAGGACCAACATTCCCTATGACCTATTTGATCAAATTAAATGAAAATACTTTACTTTAGAAACCTAAGCCACAATTGTAGCAGTTTTGGTATGTTGATTGAATGCTGATTTTGAGATTAAATGCATGAGGCTGTAGAATGTGTATTGCAGGTGTAATTTTTCTCCTAGGATACACAGCTGTGGCATACAGCTGCCCATTGTAGTGAATGGGTATAGGCCACTGTTTACATGGCTACTTGCATTATCATAGGCATGCATAAAGCTGTATGCCAGTCTACATACAGGGTTGTATGCCCATACGCATGTACAGGTTTACACAAGTACCTAAACTTGTGTAAATACTGCTGCCTTCCCCAATGGCCATGTATATGAAGCCTTAATGTGTATGTATAGCCAAACTTTTTTTTTTTTCGTTTTGGATAGTGCAGAAAAGGAATTGAAGTATTGTATTTTTTTTAATTGCTCTGTATTGTTGCTGGGGAGATTCACCCTCATTGTTTGTACTGGTGACCAGTTGTCACCAGAACAAGAGAAGGTGGAAAATCTTCAAATGGGGACACGTGTTCGAGTGACACAACTTTCTAAGGCTGGGTTCATACCTGGGCGTATTTTTTCAGCTCGTTTTTTTCAAGTTCTTTAGCACGTTTTTCCGTTTCACTGGCGGTATGATTTATTTCCCCTTATTTTCTCTATTTGTAATTTTTTTTTTTCACTTTCAAACTTCCCGCCGGCTCCGCCCCCCTGTGACGCGGCCGCTCGCAAGGGACGAAACCCAGAAGTTGGCAGCCGCCGGAGGACACAGCGTGGATCG